CTTATGTCCATATATGATACTAACCACAAGTTATTGTGCCGTGTGTTCCCGATAAGCCTCTGGGACACCGCTATTAAATGGTACTAGAATCTAGCCTTAAAAAGTATCAGGTCATGGAAGCAAATGACCGAGCTGTTCATTGCTCGATTTATCACTAGCAGTAAAAGTCTAAAGGACATTGGTGCACTACTGACACTTAGGCAGAGGAGTGGAGAGCCCTTCGACAATATGCAATCTGATATTGGGAAGAGGTCAACAAAATTGAGGCATATTCTGAGACTATGGTAGCGCAACCTTTAGACTTGGACTATCCTGAGATGCTGACCAATACCGATCCTTGACCAAACAGACTCTTGTAGACATGAAGGACCTGATGTCTTGCACTAACAAGTATGCTTAGGTGGAGGAAGAGACCGTTATTCTCGAATCCAACGCTGTCAGTCCTAAAAAATAAGATAAAGAGGCCCCCAACAGGAGGGGGCGCCGACACCAGTCCCAAGTCGCATATCCTTCCAGGGTTGAACACCATCTTCAAAGAACCCATCTAAATGATATTTCACAAGATCAAACAGGAGCCCATTTTCAAATGGTCGCCTAAGATGCTAGGGGATCCCTCTACCAGGGATTCGATCTACAAGTTGTTTCTTGAGCAGTTGGTGCGAGAAGGTCACTTCGGCGAGTTCATTGACAACACCAACACCAAGGGTATGGCAAGGGAGGCAGCAAAGGCAAGCCGAGGGACAGCGATCGTAATGGAAGTTATACACGCTTGCACGATCGAGCAACCCACTTACAATTCACTCCATGTCGATCTTTAAAGGGTGGCATAGGTTGTGAAGGTGGAGGAAAATAAGAGTGGGGGGCATTCATCTAAACGACCTCGGCTCGACTCCGAAGCAATTCACTTCTTTGACACTGACCTGGCAGGACTTGCCTTTCCACACAAAGACGCCTTGGTGATCACCCTTCGAGTCGAGAAGTATGACATTAAAAGGATCCTAGTAGACTCAGAAAGTTCATCCAAGGTAATGTATGACAATCTCTTCCAGAAGATGGGGTTCACACAAATGGACCTAAAACCCGTGAAGACCCTTCTCGTAGGATTCAACAGTTCGTATGTACTTCCTCTTGGAAAGATAACTCTCATAGTCACTGTCGAAATTGTCGTCGTCCCCATTGAGTTCGTCGTGATAGATTCCTACTCTTCTTACAACACTATTATGAGAAGGATGTGGTTGCACGCCCTGAAGGCGATAAACTCATTATATCATCAGAAAATCAAGTTCCCTATGTCGAAGGGGAACATGGAGATCCGCGGCGATCAGGGCTGGTCGAAGTGCTATTTCTATGCGACAGTAAAGGCTGGGGTTAATGCCAAGGCTAAAGAGCATAATCCCAAGGCAATGTTGGCCAAATAGCAATCACAGCTCGGTAGGCTTGAATCGATGAACCCATGGTTGACCCAACCGATCAATCGACGAAAGTCTTGGTTAAGGTATTCCTCCGTCCTGGCGATGAGAAAAGGTTCTTTTTGGTGGGGGCAGTACTGGGGTAGGCCAAAAGGTTGGACATGGTAAACTTCCTCTGTCGGAATGAAGACGTGTTTGCATGGGTGCTTGTCCAAATGAAGAGGATAAGCCCCGTGGTAATCTACCACTGGTTGCACGTTGACCCAACCTTCAAAACTGTGAAACAGAAAGTTTGGCGGTCAGCACCTCTTCGCGTGTAAATAGTCGATGAGGACTACTTGGGGTTGGGTCAATCATGGAGGTCCAATTCCATGAATGTTTGTGCCAAGAAGAAAACGAAAACTGACGGGTCTACATGGACTTCACGGATCTCAATAAGGCATGCCCTAAGGATGACTACTTGCTACCAAAGGTTGACCAGCTCGTCGATGCAATCGCGGGGCATTAACGAATTACCTTCATGGATGCCCAAGCAGGATATCACCAGATCCCTTTACACAAAGTGGATTAAGAGAAAATGATGTTTATCACACCCCGAAGGATTTATTGTTACAAAGTAATGTCGTTTTTGGCTTGAAGAATGCTGGTACCACATATCAGTGCCTGATGAACATGATGTTCAAAGATCAACTTGGCACCACCATGGAAGTCTAAATCGACGACATGTTGGTAAAAAGTGCGGTCAAAGTCGACCACCTTAGGGAACTTTAGACAACCTTTGTTGTGCTCTGTAAGTACAGTTTGAAATTGAATGCCTCAAAGTGTGCATTCAAGCTCAAATAAATTTTTGGATTACCTATTTACTCATCGAGGCATAGAAGTCGATCCCTATCAAATAGAGGCCGTGCAAAGGATACAAAAGCTGAGGACCATCAAGGATGTACAAAAGCTCACTAGAATGCTGACGGCCTTTAACCGGTTTATTTCCAAGTCGTCAGATAGGTTAAGTCGTTCTTTTCTATGCACAAAGGGGTGGCGAAGGACCCCTGGGATGAGGAATGTGATCAAGCCCTAGAAGGAATGAAGAAGTATTTAAGATCCTCTCCCACTCTGTTTGTTCCAGCTGCTGGTGAAATCTTGAGCCTTTACCTATTAGTCTCGGAGTATGCAGTCAATAAGGCATTGGTAAAGGAATTTGAAAGTCTATAGAAACCTATCTATTATTTTAGCAAGACCCTACTTGACGCCAAGACAAGATATTTACCAATGGAGAAACTCATACTTGCGCTGGTTACATTGGCGAGGAAGCTCAATCACTACTTCCAAGCTTACCCTATTGAGGTCCTAATGGGCCAACCTCTAAGGCCTATCCTTCACAAAGTAGATATCAGGGAGGGTCGCCAAGTGGGTCATGGAGTTAGGAGAGTTCAAAATAAGTTATAAACCTCGTACTTCCACTAAGGTCCTACCTAATTTCATTGTCGAGTTCTCTACGGAGGAGATCCCTGTAGCTCCCAACCATAATACCACTTGGAGTTTGCACGTGGACGGGTCCTCGAACGCAAGAGGGTAGGAGTGGGTTTAGTTTTGACCAATTCTAGAGGAATTACAATGTAACAAGCAATCAGACTTGGGTTTAAAGCATCCAACAATGAGGCCGAGTACGAGACGCTATTGGCAAGAATCAGCACGGCATTCTCGATCAAGATTAGGCACCTCCATGTTTTTTGTGATTCCTAGTTGGTAGTCAAACAGGTCAATGGGGACTTCGAAACCCGGGATGACAAAATAAAAGCCTATTACCAAAAGGCAAAGTCAAGAATGGAGAAGTTCGAGAAGGTGGAAGTGTCCCAAATCTCTAGGGATCACAATAGCCATGCTGATGCATTGTCATGCCTTGCCTCAGCCCTGGCTTCGGAGTCACTCTGCAGATTACTGTGGAATACAAGGAGAACCCAAGCATAAGGGACTTGTATGTCGAGGAGATACTTTCGGTGGATGCCCAAGATGTACTACAAGCTGGATGGACCCCACAATCAAGTACCTAACGGACGGGACACTCTTGGAGGTTGTCAATGAAGCCAGAAAGATTAAACTAAAAGCTCTCAGGTTTTGGGTATCCCCCGACCATAAGTTATATCGGCGATCCTTCTCGGAACCATATTTATTATGTGTTCCAGATGATAGGATTGAGCCATTGTTATATGAAATCCACGAAGGGATCTATTGTGATCACATGGGAGGAAGGTCCCTTGCACATCGCGCGATATCTCAAGGGTAGTGGTGGTCATATATGCAAAAGGATATTAAGGGGTATGTTTAGAAATGTGACAAGTGCCAAAAATTCGCCCTTATCATCCGTCAGTCGATAGGAGACCTCAACCTTCTAACTAGTTCATGGCCATTTTCTGAGTGAGGCATGGACATAGTGGGCCTATTGCCAAAGGCGTTGTAAACAAGAAACTCCTCCTAGTTACCACAAATTACTTCATAAAATGGATCGAGGTCGAGCCCCTAAGTCGCATTCGGGATGTCTAGACCAAGAAATTCATATGGTAGAATATCATCACTCGATTTGGAATCTCGCCCGCCATCGTATCCGACAACGGCAACCAATTCAACAGCGGACCATTTAGGAAGTTCTGCTCAGGGTTCGGAATAACAATTACTATTCTACCTTAACATATCTTCAATGTAATGGATAGGCAGAAGTCTACAATAAGACAGTGTCGACTGGGATAATAAAGAGGCTGGAAAAGGCTAAGGCCAGATAGACTGAAGAGTTACTAAACGTCATATGGACATACAGGACCACCCCTAGGAATTCCACAGGGGAAACTCCTTACGCCATGACATATGAAGTGGAATTGGTCATACCTTTGGAAGTAGGGCTCTTAACTATAAAGAGCCAAGCCTTTGAATCGGAAAATAATGATCAAACCCTAGCCAGGGATCTCGATTTGGCCGAGGAAAGAAAGAAGCTAGGATTTGTACAACTAGCCAAATACTAAGGAGAGTTATCCAAGCAGAATCAGAAGAAGGTTTGAACAAGAAGCTTTCAGTTGGGGGACCTAGTGTTGCGTAACGTAGTGGGTGGCACTCGGGAGCTAACTGTAGGAAACACGAGATCGTATAGGCTACAAGACATGTGGGAAAAAGATGTTACCCAACCATGGAACGTATCAAACTTGAAGAAATATTATTACTAAGTAAATTTTGTGAACCAAGAGTTACTTGAAATTAACACCAGCCTGGGGCTCACTCGTTAGGGTATGTCCCTGAGAAGGGTAAGCCTCCACCTTTGGAGCATCGCCCTCAAAAAGTTAACGAGCCTTGGGCTCGGGCATTAGGGGTATGACCCTGAGAGGGATAACTCTGTACATGGAGCGCAACTCCCAGAAAGACATACATAATGAACAGAAATGAAAGTGCATTGACAAACGGGGGGCTTTGCATCCTCCAAGCATACAAAATAAGACAAAATCCTATCAAAGCCTTAGTGGTTTCTAGGTCTGGCTTCATCACCAAGGTCACTGCCAAGCTCTTCGCCACTAAGCCCAATATGGTGCCTCCTCAGAGAACCTTCCCCGCTAAGGTCGGTAAGCGTGTCCTTGAGTTTCCTAAACTCAACTTCACTCGGATTGATGATAGAGTTGTTAGGAACCAAAGGGTCCCGAGGATGCATGGGAAGTATAGGGAAAGAGAGTCGAAAGGGAGACATTTCCTCTGAATCACCATCACTTATGGTGATGGGCTCGTTCACAGCCACTACATTTTCCTCCTTGGCGGATATCAGCTGGATCGTCGCATCTGCATTTGGTTCGGCCTCTTAAGGTGCCATGGTTACCTGTTGGGGGATATAAATGTAATGTAAAAAGAGCTCAGATTCGGCATCACCCCAATGGCTTGGAGCATCTCATCCCCACCCTTTTTGAAGGACTTATATTTTTTGTCATCAAAGACCTTGACAAACTGATCTTGGCATTATTTAGAGACATCCGTATAGGCAATGTTTATTCTCTCTGCCTCCCTAGCCTTCTCATTCTCAAGCATCTCCACTTTCGAAGTCAGTTAACATTGCACAGTTAGCCTTAGCCTCCAATAACTTAGTCTCCGCATCTAAAACTTTCAATTCATCCTTTTCACGGCCTTAGCCTCAAATGCCTTACTCTTCTCCAGCTCAGATCACAAGCCTTCTGCCCTACGGATAAGGTTGGCAATGCTCTTTGATTGGTTGTTAACCATCCTTTCCACCTGGGCAATGTGGCAATTTTTTTTCTCAAGTTTGGCCTAGGACATCTCGGTTTTGGTTCGATAGTCCAAAAAATGATCAATGATGACCCCCATTTACTGACAAGCCTAAAACAAAGAACGAATGTGAGTACGGGAATAAATTAGGGGAGAGTAGAGAATGAGAGACGCATACAGAAACTCATCACCAAGTTATGTTGAACCACTCCCTGAAGAAGGCAGTTATTCCTATACTCGTCTAGCATGGCCATGTCCGCATCAAAATGCAATGTCCTATTGAAAGCAAGAGGCACCTTAGGGGAATAGACGATGGAGTTAGATTCTAGGATGACGTTTCCCCTTTAGGTAACTGAGGAGGTGGCCCAGTCAGCTAGACTAGAAGGCACCAGAACATCATGACGATGCTTCACTCAGCGTTCAATGGACTGGTCATCTTCCCGACCACTACGTTGCTCTTGTCGATCATCACTTCGGTCCGAGTGGGGCTCACGGTGTGGTTACCATTTTTTGTTGGACCCTCGGCAAAGTCAGTTGTTGTTGTTGCTGTTGTTGTCATTGTTCTTGTTGTTATTATTGTTGCAGGGGCGGTTGTGGGGGCGTAGACGGAGGGATAACAGTGGTCGTGGTTGCAAAGGAGCTGTCAGGCTTCGAGGTTTAAGCCTGTTTGGATGCGAAGGCGACTTCCAGGCTCTCTGCGGTGATCGGTGGAATGTGAAACATATCTATTGCAAAAGGAGAGTTATGTCCAGAATAAGTGGCTTCGGAGTCATGGTCAGGGTCGTCCTCTTCCTTCTCCTTGCTAGAACGATCCACCCAGATAGAAGGACTGAAAGGTGGAAGAACTTGGGAGAAATGGGTGTAACTGGGGCAATATCCGAGGAACACGTGCACAGCTTGAGCAAAAAGGTCTTCCGGGTCAAGAGCCCACACCTTCAAGAGATTTTTAAAGGCAACAGAAGCTTTTGAGGTTGGGCAACGTCCCTCTTATATCCCTTTGTAAGGAAAAATGTAAGGTCAGCATCAAGTACAATAGCCAATTAGTGAGGAACTCGATAAAGTGCGCACTTAGTCCCCTTAGTACCTTGGGGTAGTAGAGGCTGTCATACTCGGATCCCTCACCCATCTCCCATTTACTACCGAGCATGATGAGATCTCGTTTGTACCTTTTGTCTGAGTTAGTTCAGTCAGGCATATGTGTCACTGAGTACATGGAGGAGTCCCGTGTGACTTCAGATGATATTTGCCATTATTGGCTAGCTTCAAGTCATAGCAAAACTGTATATTGTCCACCCCCAAGTCCATTGCTAGCAGAGCGTTTAGGACAACTACGCCCATGACTACCCCAAAAAGGTTGATACAACACTGAAGAGAGAAGAGTCTCAAGCGCATCAGGAGTCTAAGCAGAAGAGAGGGGGAGAGGGAACCTAACTCCTCCCTCTATGATAGCCTTAGTATGGAAAGGCATAAGGTTAACATTCTCCATGTCTATCCTATGGTACTGGGATCAAAAACGAAGGTGAAGACGTTCTTGGGAATCCTATAGGTGGACCTAAAGTCGTCTACAATGGACTCGTTCAGCTAGGTTTTCCTTAACTTCTCCGTTTTTCTGGGCCTATTTGAAGACCTGGGTGTGTTGGTTTGCGTATAATGGCCATGTGAATTATGTAGAAAGAGAAGGAACGAGAAGAATAAAAGAAAATACTTATAGTCTACTTCTTCAAAGGACCCCTTCAAGGGAGTTACTCAAGAAAAATAGAGGAAAGTCGCTCGGGAGGATAGTAGAGCTTGCGAATTTGAACATCTAAAGAGTCTCGAGAAAACTGAAGGCTTTCCTATTTCTATTGATTAGAATATGAGCGGGAATCAAGGAAACAAAGGCCATCAATTGAAATTCAAAACTAGGTGCCAGACGTGCAAGTAACCGTCCCTAAAAATTAGGTGTGCTAAGGAAGCCTCCATTCTCTGTGTACCACGTGTCCTATAGCGATAGGAAAATGGATGTTGGGGGCAGTTGATGAGACATTAGGCAACGCGCCAATAAGAACTCGACATGTGGATATCCACAATTGTCAAATGGCATGCAATTCACTAGGAGAAGGAGCCAAGCAATTATGCCACTTAGAACTTACCATTAAATGAAGTGTGATAGCTCATTAATGTGGGTCGTGTTGGTATGACAGACCATTAATGGCTATCCTCGAAGAATGTGGAGACAGTCATCATTATAATGCAATAATGGTCACCGTACCAAAGGGAAGTGCTCGGTGGATTCCGAGGGGATTTATTTCCTTATGAAAGCTCGGGTGTGGACTTTGAGTACCAAATTGGAGCACTTAATGGCTGGAGATCGAACAATGAATGCTCGACGGGGTCCCGAGAGAAGATCCAATTGTTCAGGCAATTAGCATTAATGAGACATAACAGAATAGTATTCATTATACTAGATTGTGAACCTAGATCATTAAATTCTAAGATGGGACTCCAGATCAAAGTCATCCTTACGAATCTAGGTATAAATACTCTTTAAAAAGCTAAGCTAAGGTACGCAATTTGGAATCAAGAATACATTGTGCACTCTGACTCGAACGCTGACCGACTTAAATTTCAGAGGGGATTAGCTAGGTACACACCCGGCCCCTTTCCTGACTTTTCTTATGTTTTAGGTTCATCGTTCAAAGGGTCGTTATCTCAACTCATTTTAGGAATCCACCAGTGCAAGAGGGATGTTAGTCACCGTTGAATGAGTCTATTTGAGCCTGTTGGATGAACTTATTAAAGTCTACCATGTTGTATATTATAGATTTTTCTGCCCATCTTTACACATGCAAGTGAGGGTCCGCACGATGAGTATTACTAAAGCTTGCTCAAGATTAGTACAATAGCTTATCCTAAGCTAGTGTATGAGCCTTGAGTGCCCCTCCATGCATTGCAATGTGTTTTGTGGGGGATGATATAACTTTGTCTCAGGTAGGGCTTAGGAGATGTTGTGCTCAAATTTTGTAGCCATCCTAGTAATTATGAAACTTGTAAGTATGGAAAAATGTAGCTAATATATGAGGGGGTCTGTTGAAGTCTATGAACACTTATACTCTTTGTAATAGCTTAAGCTTTTAGATGAATTTGTCATTAGACACCAACCACTACCATCGCCACCATTATTTCAATGTCCAACCATTGTACCTCCATTATCATTGCCCACGATGCATGTTATGTAATTGTTATGAACATTCTTTCAATCACCATCCCCATTATATCATTGTCACCAATGCGCTTTTGACCACTATAGCCATATCTTCATTTCCTAATATTGCCACCTAGTCACCACTATTACCATTACACCAAAAAATATAAACATCAGTATTAGTGTTCTTCCAACAACCATCACTATTATCTATACTCATCACGTATGGTAACTCCTACCATCATTATCGATATTTTGTCTTTACATCATGAATATTTTTGGCCACCGTTGCCATTGCTGCATCAACATAGTTAGACAATACCATTATCACCGTCACCACTGCAACACCACATCCTTCACAACAATCACACACCACCACCACAATGAATAATCACAACACCCACCATTTCCCCACCATGTCAACATTAGTTTATAATATCAAATATATAGGCACTTGTCCCTATTAGAGAAGTAATTTCCCCACCCAACAATATATTTTAGAGATTTTAAAATTACAATTTCACGTTCCAAATTGAAATTTGTTAGAGTTCTTATTTTTTATATTAGATATAAGTTAATTAGTGTAGGGTAATATTGTAATTACTCTAATATTACTCTATTACAAAAAAGAGAGTTTAAGACAACCTAACCTACATATCAATTTATTCTCCCTTTCCTTTTCTCTTCCTCTTTTTATTTTCTCTTTCTCTCATAACCCTAATCCTAATATCGTTTTTATTTTTTCAACTTGGTATCAGAGCAATCAAATAATATAATGGAAGATTTGAGAAAGAAAACAACGAAGATTTAGTTGTGACCCAGTTGCTAACATCAATATATTGGTGATAATGTCATGTTGTCATGAGCATGATATCATCATCCTCGGGCAATGAAGACACTGATCCAAGGTCATTTTTTAAGCGCAAATTTATGGTATTTTTGTTGATTTTTTTGAAGTCATTTGAATACCCCTTCCAAATTTTGAATGTTTTTCGAAAAATTGACTCTGATTTCTTCAATTTGGCTGTTCCTTGAAATCCGATAGTTTTCAAAGCTCTCTTCCTCCACATGATTGTGCGATTAGGCTATTAAGATCTGTTGTAAGTGAACCATGGTTGTTTGTGGAGTTTTAAAGGGTTTTTAGCAAATTAAACCACTCGACTAGTTCTTTTTGGCCTTCTAGTGGTCGACAGTGATTGCTTTGGGCAATTTGGGCAATGGTTGTTTGTGAGTTCTGGGTTGTTGTTCGTGTGTGGGTTTGTGTTGTGTTGCTAATTTGCATTAGTTTTGGTATTGAGTTGCCTATTGGATTCTACTTGTGTGTGGATTCGTTGTTGTTGTGTTAGAATTGGTCTTTCGTTGTCACCTGTTTTGAGTGTTTGGCTGTTCACTGG